TTTAGGAGCTGGTTGGCGGCCCCAAAGAAAGCCTGTTACAGGTGGGGACTGGACAGGTGGCCCAGTGGTTAAGAGCCCTTGTTCTTCCAGAGGACCCAGGTAGAGCTCCCAGAACCTATGTCAGGAGGCTCACAACTGGGGGACTACACCATCCTCGGATCTCCTCAGCTATCTTCGCACACATAATGTACGCACAGAGTCACAAATTCACAGAACTAATGACAAAAATAAATCTTAAGCAAACAAATCGTTAGTTATGGCAGTGCCCACCTATAATCTCGGCCCTCGGGCGGGAGAAGCAAGAGAGGATAAGAAGTTCCAAGTCATCTTAGCTATATAGCTGGACACCCTGAATACACAGCTGGACTATCTCTTAAGAAAAAGGAGGAGTGACTCAAAGGAGTAACTGCTTTCTGTGCTAAGAGTTCAGCCAGAAGCAGAAAGGGTAGAGGTAAGAGCCACAGAGAAATAGATTCACTGCTTCTGGAACAGAGCCCAGGGAATTGTCCAAAAGAACATGATTGGTTTTCAGATTTACTAATGGCTGTTATGTGCTTCTAAATAACTTCTTTCTAAATGGGAGTTTTGATTGTGGTTTGTCTATTGTCTGTCTTCCCATTACATGCTGGATGTGGGGGAAAGATGTTACAGAAGAACTGTGATATAAATACAAATCATGCTGTGAACTGCTTCAGAGTAAGTTTGATACGATTCCATATTACCACAAACCCTTCTTAATAAATTAAAATTCTTTACAATTATTCACATGTGTGGAATGTATTTTGGCCCTTTTCACTCCTCATGACCCTCTCTCATGCCCTGACCACTCTCATGGAACCTCTTCCTCAGTTCTCTTCTGCTTTTCTGTTTTCCTGTCTGTTGCTTTGTGACTGCTGAGTTTGATTAGGATTGCTTGCATGAGCATGTGTGTGTGTATTTTGTGTGTGTGTGTGTGTGTATGCGTGCTTCTGTGTGCCATTTCTTGGAGCATAGGCAACATACTAGTGGCTACATTAATAAAGAAAACGATTGACCCACACTTACGTCAAATCTTTAAAATATCCTTAATATAATACTATATTGATATATAATATATTCTATTCATTATATATTATATATTTAATATGTATACATGTGTATAACGATTATAAAAATAAGAAAATTGACATTGATAAATGATTATCAATTCTACCCTTAGTTCCCACTCAATTCTGCTATGTATCTCAACACTATACTTTAGCAGAGGATTCTCCTTTTTTTTTTTTTTTTTTTTGGTTTTTCGAGACAGGGTTTCTCTGTATTGTTTTTGGAGGCTGTTCTGGAACTAGCTCTGTAGACCAGGCTGGCCTCGAACTCACAGAGATCCGCCTGCCACTGCCTCCCGAGTGCTGGGATTAAAGTTGTTCACCACCACTCCACAGGTATTATAGGTGTGGGGCCCATGCCTGGGTTATTTGGTACTGAGGATGGAAGCCAGGGCTTCAAGCATACTAGGTAACTCTATCTATTGAGCTACATTCTCAGCCCCTGTACTTATTTTCTCTCATTCATTTTTTTTTTTTCAGATAGAGTCTCACATAGCCCAGGCTAGTCAGGAATTCACTGGATAAGAATGACCTTAAACTCTGGGTCCTCCTCCCTCCATTTCCTGAGCACTATGATTATATTTAAATATTACCACACACAATTTTTGACATAAATTTGCTGATGCCTCTATCAATTCCATTCTCTATTTTTAACCTGAGTGTGTGGCAGGTGCAGCTCAGTGGTAGAGCCTCTGTTTAGCATGTGTGAAGTTCTGAGTTCAAATCCCAGCAATGCAAAAGCAATAGCTCTAAGTGGAAAGTCATGAATTCATACCAGTTTCTCTCACTGAAATAAACTATTAATTTTTTGCTCTCTGCATTTACCTCCCTTTGGCATGCAGTTGAAGACTTTAGTAACTCTCCTTATCCACATACTTATGGCGTTTCTTTTTAAGGCCATCTGCCTCTATTTAACAATGTCCTTTCCCCACTTGGGTTATAGGCCCTGATTTGGATTGCTCTACTTTACAAGAGCTTTTCTACCATCCGCTAGCCCTGAGACGCCGTAGGTGCCCTTTACTCTGCTTGGCCCTTCCTACTATGTCAGGCTGCTGTCCTTACTCAGCTTCATCCTCCTGCTCGTGGTGGATTTTGCCATTATGTGCATGCCACCTGGAGTGCTTACCTTGTTTAACTCAAACTAGCGGCTTCTGGACTGAATTTCTCAGGAAGGGTGGATGAGGAAGAGGAAGATTTATAATGTATAGGTTCCTGAACTCAAGGGACCATACCTGGAAATGGTTTAGATGATGAAATTTTACACTTGAATGAGATTTTTGGGGAGGACAGGACTTGGAACCATAATATAAAATACTATATATTTTACATGTGAGAAAATCTAAATAATTTGTAGCTACTGGAAAAACTGCTATGTTAAAGATACTTCTTGAGCCGGGCAGTGGTGGCGCACGCCTTTAATCCCAGCACTCGGGAGGCAGAGGCAGGTGGATCTCTGTGAGTTCAAGGCTGGGCTGGTCCGACAGCCTCCAAAACAATACAGAGAAATCCTGTCTCGTAAAACAAACAAACAAAAGCTACTTCTTGCCCCTCCTACATCTATCAAGAAGTCTTTTTTTTTAAACTCTCCTTGGCCCTAGACTGCCCTGAACTTTTTGTTGTCTATTTTGAGACAGGGTCTTCTGTAGCCCAGTTTAGACAGTTGTGAGCTGTCATGTGGGTGCTGGGAATTGAACCCCGGTCTTCCCCAAGAGCAGTCAGTGACCACTGAGCCATCTTTCCAGTCCCCAAATTATTTAAAATTTTTATTTTGAGACACAGTTTCAGTATGTAGCCCTGGCTGGCCTCAAACTTTTAAGTGCTGCTAGGATTACCCATGTAGCCATGTCTAGCTCTGGACTTTATCTTTTTTTTTCTTTTTTGGTTTTTACGAGACAGGGTTTCTCTGTATTGTTTTGGAGGCTGTCGGGCCAGCCTGGCCTCGAACTCACAGCGATCCACCTGCCTCTGCCTCACAAGTGCTGGGATTAAAGGCGTGTGCCACCACCACCCGGCTTCTGGAATTTATCTTAACCAAAAGAATTCTCTAAGAATTGATGCTCTGGGGCCAAGAAAACGACTCAGTAGGTAAACATGATTTCCATCCAAAGCCAATGACTTGAGTTCAATCCTCAGATGCCACGGGGGAAGAACTTACTACTCAAAGTTGTACTATGAACTTCACACACTTGTGACACGTGCGAACACACATATGTGAACAGAAGGGGTGCTTTAAGGCGGAGTCTTAGGAAATGCACTTACATTTGTCTTGGGCTGCTTTTGGAATGTGTCCTCCAGCCTGTGAGGTCCCCAAGCAGTTGTCACCCTACATCATTACATGGAAAAACCTTTGGGGAGGGGGTCAACTTGGGGGATGAAGGTCCCGGTATGCAACCGAGCTAGACCTTATGAGCTTCCAGCTACTAGCACCAATCTCCAGGGCACACACAGGAGCTTGGAGTAGCACTGTGTGAAGGTACTTTGAAATTTCCAACTGTGCTACTGTCCTGGTTATTACTACAGGAATCGGAACCCAGCCAACAACCCAAGCTGAAAAGCTGACGTTGCACTGTCTGGGAGCTGGGTTATAGGTTTTGGTTGTTGGGACTTGGGCAAGCAATGGTGTTTCTTTCTGAGGGAGAAGAGGATGGACGCAGACTGTACGGATTAGGTTTCGGTGGACAGGATTTGTTCAGTTGAGATGATACAGGAAGGTAGAGGTTGGGGAAGAAATGTGGGCCAGAGACAGAAGTTTTGGGTGTCATCAGCTTACAGTTTACAGACTCACACCTAAGTAATAAGTATAGACATAAAAAAGCCTCAGGGAACACAGCCTAAGGACCCCACCAACAAATGGAGCCTCGAGCAGTCAAAACAAGAGGCCAGATGAGTGGTCAGGAAGTTAACAGAAGAAAAGTACACTTTATATGATTGCAACCAAATGTCAAACATCTCAGCCTGTTTTCTCATCTATGAAACGGAGACAGTTAACCCCTATTTCGGTGCATATCCTGGTTAACAATAAATTCTCCAAATATAGGAGTAGCTAGGATTAGTTACCACTTCCCGTTTCAAGGGTTCTCAACGCAGGGCGAGGACACATGCTTGTAGTGATGGTACTGGCAGAAAGCTGCATTAATTCCCAAGCCAGTGTGGAGAAGAACCTGCTTTGTATTCTACACTGACGCACCTAGAACCGAGTTGGGCTGGCCCCCGAAGTTCCAACCGGAACACTAAAGTGGGAGTTAGGGGACTTGGTCATTTCACTCATTGCAGGACTCGCAGTAAGCCGCCCCTCCTTGCTAGTCCCGCTCACAGGCAGGTGGACCCAGCTAGGCTTAAGAGGCTCTTCGGAACGCCTCAGAGAATACGTCCGCTGGCCTCGCGGGGCGTCGAAGCCTGTTTCCTAGACGACCTTTCTCCGCTCCAGTTTCTCATTGCCCCCAAGGGGTACCCGCCGGTCCTCCTGGTCTCACGTGCTGCTGTGTCCCAAACCCACACCCCGAGATCTTGGGTACGTCAGGAAGCGGTGGGGCCGCCCGAGAGCAGCTCTTTGAACGAGGAGGCACGGTCTGAAGAGATGTAAGCGCCTCGATGAACGCTAGAAAGAAAAGCCGAGCGCCGCTGGGCGTGGGATGCCGGCTCAACCCCTGGATGCAGTTGGGCTGGCGGAGCGCCACGTTTAGTCCCCAGGAGCCGCTGCGCACTGCATCCCACCCTCCCGAGGGCCCGCCCCTCAAGCCCCGCCCTCCCCTAGCGGCCTGCAACCCCAGCCGAAGGTCCGGCCCCTTGGTCTCTGCCCCAAGCCTGGTCCCTCAAGCCCCGCCCTCCTCAGAAGACCCGCGCTCGGGCCCCGCCCCCTCAGGTTCCGCTCTCCTCGCCTTCTGAAAACCCGGTCGAGGCCCCGCCCCCCGCCGAGGCCCCGCCCCGTGCCCATCCGCGCCTGTGGCTCCCCGCTGGTCTCTCCGGAGTCCCGCGGCCCGGGGTGTCAGCTTTCCGCCGCAGGCAGCCGGCGCAGCGCTGCCTAGCCCCCCCTCGGCCCCTCCCTCGATCGCTGTGCTCGGGTAGTCCTTGGCGGGCGGCCTGCGGGCGGGCCGCCCTCTCAGCCGTAGCCCACCCCCTCTTAAAGCCGCGGCGGGAAGATGAGGTTTCGTGAGCCGCTCCTGGGCGGCAGCGCCGCGATGCCGGGCGCGACCCTGCAGCGGGCCTGCCGCCTGCTCGTGGCCGTCTGCGCGCTGCACCTCGGCGTCACCCTGGTCTATTACCTCTCGGGCCGCGACCTGAGCCGCCTGCCCCAGCTCGTCGGGGTTTCCTCTACACTTCAGGGCGGCACGATGGGCGCCGCCGCCAACCAGCAGCCCCCGGGAGAGCTCCGGCCTCGGGGCGCGCGGCCGCCGCCTCCTGCGGGAGTCTCCTCGAAGCCTCGTCCGGGTCCCGACTCCAGCCCTAGTGTGGCTTTTGACCCCGGCCTGAAGAGCAACTTGACTTCGGTCCTAGTGCCCCCTACCACTGCAGTGCTGACGCTGCCCGCTTGCCCCGAGGAGTCCCCGCTGCTCGGTAAGAACCAGGATCCGAGGTCAGGGACCCCTCGGATTTCCTCAACAGGGTCCCCGGGACGTTACCCTGTGATCTCTTTCAGGACTGCCAGCCTCCAGGTTTTGATCAGAGTGTTTAATCCCCCAAGACGGTCTTCGGGGCTGACCCGGGAGAGGTTGGCTGGTGTCTCAGCCGCTTGGGCCCTCAGTCTCTTCTGACCCCAGCGCCAGAGAAGGCCCTGGGAACACCCTTGTTCTGACCTAAGGCTCAGGAAACTTAGGAGTTGGGCTTGGCTTAGGTAGGTTGCTTGCAGTCTTGCCTGCCGGTAGGGTTCGAGAACAGGACAGTGAGCAAACCACCCTCTGCTCTGCTTTCAACTAGTGACTTAACTTTCTCTTTAAGGTTTCTTTCTGGTAATGGGGATGGTAAACCTCATCCTTTTAGGGAGTTGTTTTGAAGGAGTAAATGAAACACTGTAACTAAGAGTTTAAATAACGAGGACGAACTTTTAGAAAGTTGCTACAAGTGTGGGGTTTCCTCCTATTTGTTGGTCCTAGACTTAGGGCCTTTTCGGTCCCCAGCCCCAAGTTCTTCCTCCTGAAGTTCCTCTTAACCAAAGTGAGCGGGGCCTCTCCAGGGGCGGAGGGCCTGTGTACTCAGGGGACTGGAGGGCTAAAATTAACCAGATCGCTGGGGGCTGCACTTTCCTGGCATTACTTGCCTAGCAGATCTGAACCCTGACCTTCACCAGGCAGGGAGCGGGTAGATGAGTTTACATTTCTAGTGCTTGGAGGCTGGCCCGGGGTAGATCTCTGTTTGACCTGAAGACCACAGGTTGCTTCCCCGTTACCAGCTAGGTGGCTGCTCATTTTTAATGCCAGGTTTTAGAGAATGTTGTTCAGAGAAACCCCACCTCTCCACAAACGGGCAGGCAGCCTGCCTGTAGTTTTGTCACGTTCCCAGAGAGCCCTGGCAGAGTAGGCCTTCCTATAGTCTCTTGCTCAATTTCTCCAGTAATTACTTCAATGTTTTCATATCAAGTTTGGGAGGAACCTCTTGGAATTAGCCAACATGAGCAGGAAATTGAATTCCTTTGGACTTGGTTGTTAATCTGGGAAACAGGAATAGTCCTCTGGAAAGCGAAGTAGAATATTAGTCCTACTGATAAATGTCTGACTTCAAACATATAGTATTCCTTCCTAGTGTGTAAAATAGACTTGTCCGTGCTTACCTCACAGGGTTATTTAAGAACCAATTGAGATTGTGTACGTAGTAGGCACTCAATACAAGATAGCAAGTAATCAGCAGTACAGTTGGAGGTTTTGAAGTGCCGTTTTCTTAGACCTCCAAGGAGATGACACTGAAGAGCAGTGTAGACGGAAGTTTCTGTCCCGCCTGGCCCCTCAGCCGTTGCGGTCCCCAACCAGAGTGTCCGGGCCTTTTGCTTTGTTTTTGGTTGTTGCCTGGCATTATGCAGATAAAAAGACAAATTAAGTACTCAAGGGCCAGGCACAAAGTTCAGTTGGCGGAGTGCTTGCTTAGCATGTAGAGGGCCTTGGGTTTGATCCCAGCACCACATAGAGCTGAGCATGGAGGTACATGCCAGTAACCACAGCAATTGAGAGGTGGAGACAGCAGGCTCAGAAGTTCAAGGTCTGATAGGCTGGAGGCTAGCCTGGGAAACATCAGACCATGTTTCAAAATGAAAACCAGCTACCCATGTTTGTTTGGCGTATAGGGTCTTCCTGCTGAAGTATGAGAGACAGTGGTGACTGTAGTTCTGCTGGGTTTGGTTTGGTAATGTGGTGTTGCTAAATTAATTCTGAAATAGACAGCTTAAAAGGACCTTCCTGAGAGAGAACATTTTAGACTGTGGAGCGAGAGGCCTGGGCCGTTTCTAGCCTGGCTACCTTCATGTGACTTGCATGGGACTGATGTTTAGGCTGCTGCTGAGACCACAAATGAGGACAGAAGATTTATTTATTTGCTTGTTTGTTTGTTTAATTGAGCTCTTAGATTTGAATGGTTCGGTGTAACTTTTGCAGGACAGTTCCTGACTAGGAGGAGAGCTTTAAATCTGCCAGGGACTGTGTGTGTGTGTGTGTGTGTGTGTGTGTGTGGAGTCGAGCCCATCTGTTCGCTGGGCAGGTGTCCCAAAGCCCTTGGCCGTGGTTTTGAGGTTGGTGGGAGAAAGCATCCCTGGGGGTGAGCATAGTGGCCCTTTCACTACTTACAGTTCCTTTCCCTGACCTTCCTCTACTTTCTGGTGTCCAGCAGTCTAAGCCAGATGCTTGGATCTTTTTCAGTTGATAGCTGGTGACTTTGAGGTGGTAAGGGCCCAGACCAGGCTGCTGTTAGTCGATGTTAGATCTGTCTTTGGTTCATTGGGACTTTAGATAGGCTGAGGTTAGAATCGTACTTCTGTAATACGTGTGACTGGGGCAGGCTGTATTGTTTGGAATACTAGTAGGGGTGGGGACTCCTCTCTCCTTTTAGGGCTAGTGTGAGTCCCTGGCTGCCTGTCCCAGCCTCTCCCATCCCAGTGTGGGCTACAGGGGTTAGTTGACCTTTCCTGAGAAGTTCTCCAACTTGCCCAGAGAATTCTAGTTAGTTCAGGCTTTTTTCTCCAGCTCTGTGACAGCCCCCAGGTAACTAAACTGTGTACCCTACTGGCCATGGCATTGAAGCTCTCTTTTCTGACTACCTGGGTGTTTGCCAGAGATGGGAGGAGCCGCAGCCTTGAGGTTCTTTCCCGGAATGTTTATGTGTTTCCAGAATGTTTTATCTGCTCATATTTGGCACTGCTCAACATGATTTGACTGGCTGTGGCACAGGCATTTAGGGTGTGGTGTTGGTGGAGAAGGTGGCACAGGCTGGATTAATTGGAGGAAGCAGGGCTGGCTGACTCAGCTGGGGCCTGGGACAGATAGTACAAATCCTTCAAGGGGGCAGTGAGTTCTGGGCAGCTTAAACCTCAGAGGCCCCTCTTGCCCAATTATGCTTTAAGGAGTTTGTTCAAAAGGGAGGATTAATGTGTGTGTGTGTGTGTGTGTGTGTGTGTGTTGTTTCTATTTATTCGTGTTTATGTGGACCCATATGTCATGGTGTGAGTGTGGAGATTGGAGGACAACTTGTGGGAGTCAGTAGTTTTCCACCCTATGGGGTCTTCAAGTATACGGGTTTCAGGGATGAAACTCATGTTGTCAATCTTGGTTGCAAACACCTTTACCTGCTGAGCAATCTGGAAACAAACAGGGGCTATGGGTAGCCAAGGCCCTTTTAGAGTACTTGTTCATTAGCCAATTTCCCTGACGTTTGGAGGGTCCTTTTAGCTGGGCCTCTGCCATGGCTTGTGATGTTGAAGATGAAGTACTTTGGCAGGTCTCTGCTGGGCTCTTGGCTCTCAGACATTTCTCTTTATCACGCTGCTGTCTTCACTCATGTGTGCACATGCAGACATGAGCGGGCTGATTAGAACAGCATGTACTGTGAGACACTGGAGAGGTCTGACCTTGACTCACTCATTCTGGGATGACTCTTGGGACCCCATCACCCTCTGTTTTAGGATGGAATCTCATCCCGGGTGTTAGAAGAGGTGCAGAGATCCTCACTTAGATGCATATTTTTCAGCTTTGCTTTTCAGTAACTAGCCTTTAAGCCAGTTTTGTCTTGCTGCTTTTTTCTGGAGCAATAACTTACTGATGTGCACATAGATCCCACTGTCTTTATCTAACAGTCGTAGTAGACATACCCTAACTTACCTAGAGCAGAGATGTTCGTTCTAGGAAAAGCATTACAAGGCCTCAGCTCTCCCCATCTCAGACACAGTCAGGTGCCCATAAAGTGGAAACCTGATTGCCAAGATCCTTCAGAAATACCCTCCGTGACAGACTGAATATTTTTTTGTTTTGTTTTTCGAAATGGTTTCTCTGTGTAACAGTATTGGCTGTCCTGGAACTCACTCTGTAGACCAGACTGGCCTGGAACTCACAGAGACCCCTCAGCCTCTGCCTCCTAAGTGGTGGGTTTAAAGGTATGCGCCACCACTGCCCAACAGTCTGAATCTTTTTTTTTTTTTACCGTGAAACCTGGTCATTTCTCCCAAATAGCATTATGGCAAGAGAAGTGACCCCTGCCTGTTGTTTATTCCATACTTACTAAGTTTGTGGCTCAGTGGTTGCGTATACAATATCTTGGGCTTAATCTAGCTCTGGAAAAAAACAGAAAACAACAACCGAAAAAGTCCCAAACCATCCCAGGTTCTCTCTGAGCAAGTGTGGGAACCACCTTGGTGGAAGGGCATCAGATGATCTGCCAGATGCTTCTTGGGATATGGAAAACAAAAGCCAAATGTGGGATTCTGTTTAAACCACAGTTTCTTGGTTTAGTATTCCTGGAGGGGACCTGGCAGTGTTCTTGTCTCAGGTTAATGCCCAGAGAGACTTGTCCAGAGGACCAGGAGTTGCCTTGATGTGGCCCAAAGACTGGAAAGACGATCCTTGTAAGGTGTGCGTGTGGATCCCTTCCTCTGAAAGGTCTTATGTGGATTTTGGGATGACTTTGCAGACTTCATTCATTTACAGTGTGCACTATGTGGAACACTGAGCAACAAGGAAGGAAAAGGGTCGCCCTTGTAGCAATTTACAATTTAGGCAAGAGAGACATAATGACTATTCTAATGTGTCTGAACTCTCTCTCTCTCTCTCTCTCTCTCTCTCTCTCTCTCTCTCTCTCTCTCTGTGTGTGTGTGTGTGTGTGTGTGTGTGTGTGTGTCCATCCTTTACTATCGAAAACTTGCAAGGGCCTGCTCAAAAGCTTTCGCTCAGGCTTCAGAAAGAGACACTACAATAAGTGTAGGATCTAAGTCTGAGGACTATAGAACAAACTCTTTTCACACACGTTCTTTCTGTTCATGTGCTCATTATTGTTCTCGCTTTGCTGCTCCCTATTCTAATTCTTTTGTCCTGATTGTCTATAATGTCCTAACTTTAATTCTCTGTCTTAATTCTAATTATCTGCTT